CCACCAGGAGGTCCGCCGTGGGGCCCCGGGGATGGCGGGGACAGGCGGGCCGCTGGTGAGTTCGGGCTCGCATCGGGAGGGAAGTGCCTGGCACCAGCCCCTCCGCTTTGTGCCAGGGCTGTGGGGAAGCCCTTCTTCACTCCTTGGGAAAAGGCCACTTGTCTCATTTTAAAGCACAAGGCTCTGAGGCGGGCCTGGTTTGCTCTGGGTTTGGCAGGATCAGGGCCACCTTGGGCTTCAGATGGGTGAGTGGCGGGATGGGGGCCAGCTGGCCTAGGGGCCCACACTGGGGAGCGGTACCATTCACTTCATCCCAGAGTAGCTATAGCTTCCTTTGGGTACCAGTTTTTAGGATCTTGAATTACCTGAAATCAACCCGTGGGGCATGACCCAAAAGGGGGTCACGAAAATGCCCCCCAAGTACAGGGGGGCTGGACCCCATGATCTGTAAGGTCCCTTCCAGCCCCTAATAACTATGAAACTATGAATATATGAAAGGGTTGCGAACCAACTTTAAACATGGTTTCTCCTTTAAAGAGGCAAAACGTGGGAAACGCTTTCCTTTGCAGGCTGGCAGAGCTCCAGCCTCTGCTTGAGTCCCCCTATGCCCCACACACCCACCGCTGCCCCACACACTGTGAGGTTGGGGTCTGGGGTGGGGGCAGTGGGTCCAGAGTGAGGAGCTGGCCATTGGTGTTTACAAATGGGTCCTGGTACAAAAGAGGCTGAGAACCGCTGCTTTAAATGAAGATGGTATGCTCCTGTCATCTGAGCTTGTTTTACTTCTGTGGGGGGGGGGCACTGGGGTGGTGCAGGTGCTAAGGCACAGGGTTGACAGCCCACAGATTGCAAGTTCAAGGCCATGGCAGAAGCACTCACAGTGTGGCCCTGTCAGATTCCAGCAAATCTGAAAATTCTGCTAAACAGCTTGTCACCAGGAAGGAAGTTTGTCCAGGCAAAAACACCCTCACCTGAGATGTGCATGAATGCAGCTTGCCCTGGTTTTCAGTGGGGCCAATGTACCCGAAGTCAAATTGTGGTTTATCTGGCCCAGCTAGCTCTGGCTACAAGAAGGGCACATGCTCAGTGTGGACCACATGTTGGTCAGGATCACATGTCTGTCACAGAATGGGAAAGACAATCAGTCTCGTCTTGGATACACAACCAAAGTGAAAATCAGGATGCAGAACAAATGTTAACATCAAGATTGGTTTATTAACAATGGCCACATGGCATGCAGGAATCACAACCAGTGAAGAATTGACTTTAGGATTGCTATGCTTTCCTTATCTCTTGAAATAAGGAAAGAACATTTGGGAATCCCTAATTCACCAGCTCTATCTGTGGGAACTGGGTGGTCTTCTAGCATCAGTCAGTCAGTCTTTTTAAGAAATATGCAAAGCTTTAGGCTTATCAGTAAGTTGTTGTCAGTTTGCTATGTCTGCGTATTTGTTTTTAAATTTTTCTTTTCCATACAATGTGTTATCTTGCTTTTTGTTACCCTTCATTACAAGAACAGAATTAAGGAATTAACTGACTAAAATCTTCCTTTGGGTGCCTTATTCATTCACCTTTTGCCTTGTTTAATGCTCATGTTCATCATTCTGTTAACTTATCTTAGATTTAAATTAAGTAGTTTTCCTTGTCTAATGCTGGATTCACTGAGGAGCCTGCCCAGCAGAGCATAAATTTGATAGCTTCATAGTGCATTGCTTATTCAGTACTAATCTAATTAATCCTAGCTAGCCACCTTTGTATGAGCACATGGTAAAGTTGCATTTGGTTTCCCATTTTCCTCCTCTTCTACTCTATAAAAAACTATACAGATCACTGTGGCAATGGATTATACAGTAATTTATTCTTTAGTTTGTTGCTCAGGTATTTAATTAGATTAGTATGTTATTTAAAACAGTGTGTACATACATTGTGTGGTGATTGTACCAGCTGTACAGAAGGAAAAAACAGATCTTATAAACACTGTTCTGGGAAGTTTACTTTCTGCTCTTCTGCTGTTTCTTATATTCAACAGTTCTTCTACCATTTTGTTTAATTAATCTACTTACAACTCAGGAAATATTACTGACTGCAGGATGTGTTTTCGTAGGCTGCTCTACATAGCTTTTAATGATTCTAATAATGCTTCTATTTCTCATTGCATCATAGTACATTTTTGAAGTATAAAAGCAGTTTACAGCGTTTCACTGGATCTCCCTCTGATCAAAGGAATACTGATGAATATTGTTCTAACAGGGGAGGGACAGCCTTGGTGGGAAGACTGCAGACACACTAGCAGTGCATGCAGACTTTGCACCTGGAAGCGAAAGAAGACTGCTCATTCTTAATGAATTTCACCTTTCATCCAGTTTTTCTTTGAAAGTATTTGAATGCAATAATTCTGTGCAGATCCGAAAGTGATCTGAAATAATTGCCAGATGTTAGGGACTACCAATACATTTTCAGCAGTTTGAAAACACATCTTTTTAACTTCTCATTGTTTCTCTGAGAGAAGAACCATGATACATTAACTTAAAAGCATTTGAATGTTGCTCTTCATCTGGGATCTCCATCTGTCTCTTACTATATCATTTTTCTTCCTTCTCATGTGGTGGTTCACTAATTATGTCAATATGTCTACAACTGGTTAATTTCAGAAGGTGTTATTTTTTTAGGAGTCACTACAACCTGACTGTCTTCAAGCCTTGTTTCTGTATATGTTGCTGGTGGTGCTGACTGTTTTTATGTGTTTTTATTCTATATGTTTCTAAGTATTTGCAAGATCAGGCCCTATGCCTGATCTTGCAAATACTTAGAAACATATAGAATCATAGAAAATTAGGGTTGGAAGGGACTTCAGGAGGTCATCTAGTCCAGCCCTCTGCTCAAAGCAGTACCATCTCCCACTATATCATCTCAGTCAAGGATTTGTCTGCCCAGGTCTTAAAAACATCTAAGGATAGAGATTCCACAACTTTTCTGGATAGCCTGTTCCAGTGCTTTACAACCCTCCTACTGAGTGAGCTTTTCCTTATATCTAACCTAAATTTCCCTTGCTACAACTTGAGACCATTGCTCCTTGTTCTGTTACCTGCCACCACCACCACTGAGAACAGCTGAGCTCCATCCTCTTTGGAACCCCGCTTCAGGTAGTAGAAGACTGCTGTTAAATCCCCCCTCAGTTTTCTCTTCTCCAGACTAAATCAGCCCAGTTCACTCAGCCTCTCTCCATAGTCATGTGCCCCAGCCCCCTCACCATATTTGTTGCCCTCTACTAGACTCACTCAAATTTGTCCACATCCTTTCTGTAGTGGGGGGCTCAAAACTGGACCTAGTACTGCAGATGTGGCCTCACTCGTACCAAACAGAGAGGAAGAGTCACTTCCCTTGATCTGTAGGCAATGCTTCTACTAATGCAGCCCGGTATGCTGCTAGCCTTCTTTGCAACAAGGGCACACTTGGCTTATATTCAGCCTACTGTCCACTCTAACCCCCAGGTCCTTTTCTGCAGTGCTGCTGCTTAGCCAGTCCATCCCCAGCCTGTACCGGTACATGAGATTTTTTTGTCCTTAGCTCAGGACTTTGCACTTGACCTTATTGAACTTCATGAGATTTCTTTTGGCCCAATCCTCCAATTTGTCTAGGTTTCTCCAAATCCTAACCCTACCCTCCAGCATATCTACTACTCTCCGCATCTTGGTGTCATCCGCAAACTTCCTGAGGGTACATTCCATCCCATCTTCCAGGTTGTTGATGAAGATACTGAACAAAACCAGCCCCAGGACTGACTCGTGGGATACTCCACTTGATACTGGCTGCCAGTTAGACATCAAGCCATTGAGCCTGACAAGCCAGCTGGTTTTCTCCATACTTCCTTAACTTGCTTGCAAGAATGTTGTGGGAGACCATATCAAAAGCTTTGCTAAAGTCAAGGTATATCATGTCCACTGCTTTCCCTGCATCCACTGAGCCAGTCATCTCATCACAGAAGGCAGTCAGTTTAGTCAGGTATGACTTGCCCTTGGTGAATCCATGCTAACTGTTCCTAATCACCTTTTTTTCCTCTGAGTGCTTAGAATAGATTCCTTGAGGATCTGCTCCGTGCTTTTCTAGGGACTGGTGAGGTTAACCAGTCAATAGATCCTTCTTCCCTTTCTTAAAGATGGGGCGCTATATTTGCCATTTTCCAATCATCTGGCACCTTTCCTGATTGCCACGAGTTTTCAAAAATAATCTCCAGAGTCTCTGCAGTCACATCAGCCAACTCGTTTAGCACCCTCAGTTACATTGCATCCAGCCACATGGACTTGTACATGTCCAACTTTTCTAAACAGTCCCTAACCTGCTCTTTCACCACTGTTGGCGGCTCACCTCCTCCCCAAGCTGTGCTGCCAGGTGCTGTAGTCTGGGAGCTGTCCTTGCCTGTGAAGACTGAAATAAAAAAGGCATAGAGTACATCAGGCTTTTGCTTTTCTGCATCATCTATCACTAGGTAGATTCTCCCATTCAGTAAGGGACTCATACTTTCCCTGATTTTCCTTTTGTTGCTGACATATGTGGAGAAACCCTTCTTGTTAACCTTCATATCCCTTGCTAGCTTCAACTCCAGTAGCACTTTGGCCTTCCTGATTTTATCCCTGCATGCCCGAGCAGTGCTCTTATACTCCTTCCTAGCCATTTGTCTCTCTTCATTTGTTGTAAGCTCCCTTTTTGTATTTTAGCTCACTGAAAAGTTCCCTGCCAAGCCAAGCTGGTCTTATGCCATACTTGTACATTGGGATGGTATGTTCCTGCGCCCTCAGTAAGGTTTCTTTAAAATACAGCAGTTCTTCTGAATTCCTTTCCCCCTCAGACTGACTGCCCATGGGATCCTGCCCATCAGTTCCCTGAGCGAGTCAGAGTCTGCTTTTCTGTAGTCTAGGCTCCTTATTCTGCTGCTCTCCTTCCTTCCTTTCCTCAGGATCCTCAACTCCATCATCTCATGGTTGCTGCTGCCCAAAGTTGCCATCCACTACTACAGGGGTTGTCAACCAAGGGTACGCGTACTCCTGGGGGTACTTGGGAAGGCTCTAGGGGGTACGCACAGGCAGGCAGGGACGAAGCACCACCACCCTGCGCTGCTGCCTCCCAGAAGCAGGGCTGGAGGTGGGGCAAGGGCAGTGGCGCTCCTCTGCGGGCTGCACAGGCACCGCCCAGCTGGCCAGACACAGGACAATGTGGGGAAGCTTGCACATGGTGGCTGCCACTGCCACCCACCACCCCATGTAGCCACTGCTCCGTGTCCAGTTGTGCATGCCCCCCGCCCCTGTTCTGCCTCCAGCCACCAGGGGTACACTTATTAAAAAAGATTAAAAACCCCTGCTCTACTACATTTCCCACCAATTCTTCCCTGTTTGTGAGCTTGCTCCTGTTTCATTCTTGCTACTGTGGCTAGTTCTGTTTTCTTTGGTATAAGTAGATGTGGTAGCAAGAGTTTCCTTGCAATATGGAGCCTCCAGTCTGCTATCATTTTAAAATTCATCCTTCCTGATTTTTGTTAAAAGTTTAACAGATGGCAAATGCCAAGAATATGCACATTTATCTCTGAAAAATAGTCGACTGTTCCTTTCCCTGATAATGAATAACTACTTTTGTGAACCCTCTGTTAAATAGCCTTTAGTTAAGGTTCCTCTGCCTTGTCATAGGTATATGCAAAATATATGGGTGAGACCATGTGTGCGCATGTGTAGTCATATATAGGATATATGAAAGTGTGTGTATATGTATATATCTGTGTGTACATACGTATGTTTTTTCATTTTATTCATGTGCATGTTTGTATGTGTGTATTATATAAAATGAAGAAGGTATATATATGTATATATGTGTTTTTGTGTATATAGATATATGAAATGTTCATGTGTACACACACACACACACATATATGAATATGAAAAAAATTATGAGACACCTGGGAATAAGACACACATATCTTTATGCAAGCTAAAAAAGCCTAAAACCCAATGTCAGGCTTCCATTACAGTTTCCCCCCTTTTTAACACTCCTAATATGCCAGTCAAGCAGCAAACTCCTTGGAGGCAAGTGGAATCTCACAAGGACATATACATGCTGTGAAGTGAATCCTGGTTTATAACTGCTCAGTCTACAAAAATGGTTTAACAGATATTAAAAGAAAGTTTGATTTTCTCTTTCC